CCTCAAAGTTTGATGCAAAAACGCATGATCGCACCGGCTCGCCTGGTGCGTCCCAGCCTGGGTTGCATATATGTAAATTGCAAAAACGCATATTGGGAAGATGCAGTCTGTGTGAGTGTGTGTTCGCACTTTTTTTTCACCCACTTTCAACTCGAGAACCAGAAAAGCTAGAAGGATGAAACTGTGGGAGTATGTGCACATACCATGTGCGACCCAACCGTTTTAATTTCATCCCCCGTGGATGCCTGGGTGCCGTGAACGAACGCTTTAAAGAAATATGCTTAATTTTTGGCGGGGAAGCGATCTGGGGAACTACATGAGCTGAGGGGCCGAAACCATGGAGGGATATTCCCTGTGCATGTATTAGCTAAAAATTTCAAATTCAGCCTCCAGGTATGGGTGGTACTCACGTAAGGGCGTATGAAAGTTTTAGGAGGAAAATTGCTAACTCGGTAACTAAAAAAGCTGGAAAGCTGAAATTTTGAGGGAATGTTCCCTGTTCAAGTACAACACAAATATTTCAAATACAGTCCCAAGCTATGCGTGGTACACACGTAAGGGCGTAGAAAAGTTTCTGCAGGAAAATTTTAATTCGGGAACCAGAAAAGCTAGAAAGTTGAAGTTTTACGGAGAAGTTCCTTGTTCAAGTGCAACTTAAGTATTTCAAATTCAGCCTTGAGGTATGCGTGGTTCTTACGTACTGGCACTTAAACTTTTGGCGGAAAAATTTCTCACTAAACAGCTAGGTTACTTTTAAAGAACGACTGTTAAATGGAAATTGTACATTCACTTTCAAAATTCGTGGCGATCTATGCTAGTGACCGCAAAAGATAGGCGTAAAGCAATAGCCAATCATACAGTTTTTTTGACCCGAGTAATTAAAGTCCGGTGCAAAAACGCATGATCGCACGGGCCTGCTCAGTGCGTCCCAACCTGGGTTCAATTTGCATATGTGCAAAAACACATAACAAGTAAAGCCCATTTCTAGTGTTTGATGACTACCATTCCATTGTAGCATTTTAAAGGAGTTTTTTGAGATTCATGTTTCAAGCCGCTGTGGTGGCACGTTATTATCAAAAGCTTATAAACAACAAACTTCAATTTTCACGGCCGTTTCATTATTCATTTGAGAAAGCGCCATGAAACGATTTACTAGGCAAAATCAACGGACCGTTAACACATAAGTGTACAGTACTTCGAAAAATAGAGGTATGCAAAAGGTGTATGTTTAAATTGTATTATATTCCAGAAGTCACAGGAGGTGGCGTACATGCACATATCGAACAGATGGTCGATATTGACCGGAGGTATGCATCCCAGAATCGAAAGGTCTGACACAGCTGTGTCTGGCAGTAGGAGCATTCAGTAACATCATTAATATGGGTACCTACACTGATGCCCGGTGTTTCTGGTATTCTCGACATTGATACTTTGGATTAAACTGCAAGTATTAACAGAAAACGAACTTCAAGAATGGCACATATAGTATGGAGCTGGATGCGGAAGCTATTCAAAACGATTTAGCACTTCTGTGTGTCAGTAATTAACTACAGAAAACGCAGTAAAACGAATTTTCGTCTCGGAACAATTGTTGGTAACTGTGCCCAGTGTTTCTGTCTTGGTGAAGTGTTCGAAAGCAAAGTGAGCACGAGATGATGAGTGATAAGTGAAAAGCATAATGATGATGAGCAACAAAACGAGAAAAATCCAGTACTGACAAATGGCTAAAATACGGTGTAGTATGTTCCATAAAAAAAGTGTCGAAAAGCTGCACGGCTAAAAAAACTTCTCTCTGAGCCCTGAATGCGTATAAGCTGGTAGTTAAAACTGCATTAATTTGGAAAATCAGTTGAAAGTAACTGAAACTGATTCCGGAGAGGGAAACTCGCAAACATCTGAATCAAAAAAGAATAATAAAATATAAGAATCAACATTTTAACGATTCATTATACTGCACTGGTGTACTCCTCGTTTCAGGGCTTCAGAATATCAAATAAGAAAGCAGAGGTTTCCACCTTACAAATTTCTAACGACAATAACGGACTGCCTAATCTTATCGGTGCTATGGGATCATGAGGGACAGGACATTGCGCTTATTCTAGAAGCGCAAAAACAGTAAAAGCACCCGTGCGTAGTGGAAGCCGAATTCAGAAGAGTGATGAAGAAAAGTATCAGCGCTGGAATCCGACTGTCGGGACAAACGGACGGGTGTCACCATCCAGTTGTCCTTGATCCGCTGCCGTTGTCTGCTTATTTGCCAAAAAATCAGCATTCTGTGATACTTCATCGACTTCTGATACTGGCTCTCTTTGCTCACGTTTTTCTTCTTGTCCTGCTGATATCCTGCCTTGCTGCTGCGCCTGCTCCACGAACAGAGTTTCGGGAAGATCTGCTGACTGGGTATCCGAAGCTACTTGCATCACTGGTTCCGAGCCCAATTCGCCACCAATTTCTCGCAGTGGCTGTTGCGGTGTGTAAGTTTCTGCACGTTGTCGATTTGGCATGTCAGCTATCACTACTTCCGTATCCTGACAAACACATGTTCCCGGTGTCCCTGAAATGTTGTCTTGTTAGCACCCCATTGCACTCCAGCAATAATGGTTATTATTATTCGAATAAACTAATGCGTTATCACTACAGCGTTTTCTCACTTTGCAAACGCAAACTTTCTATTGCAACTTCATCGTTAGTACAAACCTGATGGGCCTGGTTCTCCTTGTGGTCCGGGCGCACCAGGAAGGCCGATTGCACCTGGTGGACCTGGTGGCCCAGGCCAGCCTTTCTCGCCCGGTGGTCCACTATATCCATCCTCACCGTTTGATCCTGCAGAACTGTTCATGGGGCACAACTATTCTTCATTTAAATATGAACAATGACTGATGCACAAATTCGGCAATCAGGTACAGTAAAAAGCCA